AGTGATGGACCTCTGTGTCTGGCTTCTCTCAGCCCTTTACTATGTAGACAACAGAAGGCAGAGAGAGTGGTCTTGCATTGAAATCTGTGAAGAGGAATTTGGATTTGAATTGTTTATTCTTGATACTGAAATAAGTATTTTGGAAGTGGTCAATAGATAGTCTTGAAGCTTCTCAAGAAACAAATTTAGACTATAACTTAAAAAGTGAAAATGATATTAAATCTTCCACTATGCAGCAGTTCTTGGAGCTTCCTGGTGTCTGCAAACTGTACAAACTAGGTGTCCATCACTCGAGACTGCTGCCATGACTGCACATGAACAAGCACACCGCAAGCTCCAGAGGAGCTGCCCTGTAGATGGAGGCTGTTGCAGGGCCACAGCCTAGGATTTTCAGCTTCTGTTTCTGGTATTTCCTGTAGGCTTTCCCTGAGGTGGCCAGGGGTGACCATGCTAGCTTGTGTGCCCTCTGGGAAAAGCTACCTTCAATGTCTTTGTCTAGGGACACATTGTTTCTTCTGTATAGGGATCAGCTCCCAGGACCTGCAGTCTGTAGTGGTCTGTGGAGTCCCCCCCCCCCCCCGAAATGCCTCGCGGCAAGGAGATTGGTTTACCTGAAGGTAGGTGTTTCCAAAGTGGGGAGACAGGCAGATTCTGACTAGGGTGACGCTGGGCTTTCTGAAGCCTTCAGACATTCTTCCCCTGCCAAGAATGTTAAAGAAGCAGGGGTACCTCTTTGTTCAGTGTGTGTGTGTGTGTGTGTGTGTGTGTGTGTGTGTACACATGCACATGTGCTCACTAGGAATAGAACCCACATACCTGTGCATTCTAGGCAAGCATTGTACACTGTGCTACATCCCCACTGCCTTGGTTGCTTTGTTTGTATACCTGGCTCTCTGCTGGACTGTGGACCCTGCAGGCTGGCTGCCCTTTGAGCGCATCCCCATCCATTTCCAGTTGAGTTCCACTGACATCGGTTTGCCAGGGCTGTCTCTGCACCCACTCATCTCATCCCCTTTGGTCTGTGTTCTAATTCTTTTGGTGGTGTGGGGCAGTGGGGTGTACCCTCCCCTCTTTTACTCTAACTTGGATACTTTTTATATTGAGTTAGATATTGTGATGGTAGCATAAGCATCTTGTTTGGATTGTTCCATAGTGATGCACTGGGGTGTAAATTGGCTCTTCCTTTGTTTAGAGCACTTTACCAGTGTCTGCGGTGTTTATCCTATCAGCCTTGTGATGGAATGAGACAGGTCGAGAGTAGTGATATTGGGAGATCTATATGCTTGAAGTTGCGTACTGTAATGCTGTGTGGAGGAATGGAGGAATGAAAGCAGCATGAATGCACATCAGTGGGGATGGCTGCAGGGAATGCTATGCTGTAGTCACACTTGCATAATGAGACATGAGCCACTGTGAAAAAGCGGAAAACCAGCTCAGCACAGAAAGGGTTTCCCCTGTGTCTAAAGGAAAACTGATGGAAATGCTCATTCGTGATTTGGACTCAGTGGGAAACTGAGGAAAGATGGATGGATTATTTCTTAAAAATAGCACAGTACCCCCTGTGGAGGAAGGGGAGCCTAGGAAGGATGCTCCTTCCTCTTTCCTATTCATCTCTGTGTCTTTTGAAGTCATACCACGGAGGTCACTTCTGCTCTCTGCCCTTGCTCTCCCCTCCCTTTCCCAGTGCTAATTGACGAGTGGCTTGTGTACTTGGCCTTGGCACTAGGTCCTTAGTGCAGCTTCTCATGTACACCAAGGTAAGTGGGATCCTGCTGCAGTCCAGCTGACCTTGCCTCATGCTGTGGTATGGCAGCACATCCAACAAAGGGAGTGGCCCCTCTCAGGCTGTGACTACCTGACACCTCAGAGGAAGTCTCTGAGCCTGTGCACATGGCCCTGCCATGCTCTTTTCAGTGTTTCAGTTTTTCCAATTACTTTTGATTCATAATATGAAGGTGGCTCAGACCAGAGCCTGTCATTAAGTCCGTGGGTGAGATGTGGGTGCATTCACAGATGGTGAACCACTCTCCAGTGCTTGGTTCCTGTGCACCAGGGAACTGTCACGATATGGTGTTGTTTTGAAGAGCTGACTTTTTATATGATTGACAGATAAATTTAATGAGTGTTCATGTGTATGCTGGCTGAAACTTATAAATAACCAAAGATGGCAAGGTTGTTTTCAAATATGAATCTGTGCTTTAAAAATATAAAATATAATGCTAAATGTATTTTTCTGATATTGACATCATTTTTTTAATATTTATTTCTTTATTATGTATACAATATTCTGTCTGTGTGTATGCCTGCAGGCCAGAAGAGGGCACCAGACCCCATTACAGATGGTTGTGAGCCACCATGTGGTTGCTGGGTATTGAACTCAGGACCTCTGGAAAAGCAGGCAAGGCTCTTAACCTCTGAGCCATCTCTCCAGCCCCCTGACATTATCTTTTTATTGCTTATTAAAGTATGTTTAGTTACTTGAGGTGAAAGCAAGTGCGTGTTAAAGACTAGCAGTTTTGAAGCTCAAGTGAGTTATGGGATCTTTGGAGCCTTCCTGTGTAGCCCTGGTTGGGTTTGAACTCTCATTCCCCTGCCTCAGCTTCCAGAATGCTGGGATTTCACACCCAGCTTCTCTATTATAGACCGTGTGATTCCTCTGCACATGACCCTTAGGAGTTGGCTGGTCCAGACTAGAACTCCTGCCCACCCTCTGTGCTCCTGCAGTTCAGTCCTTACACTCAAATCCCACCTAACGCAGAACAAACTCTCGCCAGCCATTCTTAAAAAATTGGATTTTGGCTTTATTTACAACTGTATTTAATAATTGACGGTTTCTGTGGTTGGGAATAGTACATAAAATTTTGGTAGAATCTAATGATTTTGAACATTTGCAGCCTCAAGAGTAAATTGCAAGGCCATAGCATTTTCTGATTGTGTTCAGCTGTGGCCTTCTTGCTGCTTGTTTTAGGGGTACTGTCTGAGCTGCACTGTGCAAGCACTGCGGCTGTCTTGTTTAGGGGTACTGTCTGAGCTGCACTGTGTGAGCACTGCCGCTGTCTTGTTTAGGGGTACTGTCTGAGCTGCACTGGGCCAGCACTGTGGCTGTCTTGTTTAGGGGTACTGTCGGAGCTGCACTGTGCGAACACTGTGGCTGTCTTTTTCAAGCCCTTTAAGAAGCAGTTTGTTAGCTATAGAGAGAGGCTAGCAGCATCAAAGCTGGTTGAAGAAGGGTGGGTTCCCAGACAGGCCTGCTGGTGTGCTGTGGAGAAGCAGGCCTGCTCATGTCCTTGGCCATTGTGAGGCCGTCCTGCACCCCTGCATCGTCTTTGGAGCAGAGTGAAGGCCCCTGAAATGAGGCCTTGATTTGAAATCCTGCTTGTTAATCTCAGAGACCTGTGGGGTGCCTAGCAGGGCAGCTCTGTGACAAGTGGAGACCTCCATCTGCGGGAAGCTTGGTTTTGGGGGTGGAAGGTAGGTGGTAGTAATCCTCCAACTCTTGATCAGCCCCCCAAAGCCAAAATGTCGCCCTCTGAAGGCCACTAGATTGTAGAACTGTGGCTTCCAGGGTTGCATGGCGATAGGGTTGCAGGTGTCAGACCACCGTCATGGTGTGGTCCCCAGTCAACCCAGGCAGCTGCAGCGGAATCTGTCCTGAAGAGACTAAGGCCTTGGTCTGGTGCGGCTTATTATTTGTGTTGGAGATCTCTGTGAGAGTCTGTGGAATGCTGTTTTCAGGCATGAGCCTTTATTTTAGAGCCAGTTTAAAGGCAGTTTACACTGACCCTTGGCTGGTGCTGGCTGGTGAAATCCAGTTTGTGTGGCTCATGGACTTTCCAGTACCCAGCTCTTTCTTGGCTTAAGAAGCCAAGGAATTTGCAGTGTATTCTGTGTGAGCATGGGGTGGGGCAGTGGGCGAGTTTCAGAGAGTTTTACTAATGAACATTTTCCATGTAATATTTAATAAAATAGAATTTGTATGTGGTTCTTTAATGCCTATTTGAACTGACAGAGAAGGGGAGGGAGTTTTATTTGGTGATAGTAGTTTCCCTTCTTATTTTCCCTCTCCCATCAGAAACTGGTTCTTCAGCTTCCAGAGCCAAGGGAGCAGCTAGCTGTGGGGTAGGCCCTTAGCCTCTGGCCTTGCTGTGGATCAAGTGTCCGTGTAGTAGCCGTGCTGAAAAGCTGAGCAGTGTATTCAGTGGCCACCATCTGCTCTGCAGGGTCTGTGCGGTGGGGGAGTACCTGGATTGTGGGTTATTTTAGCAGAACGCCTAGCCTGCATCCTGAGTTTCTTAGCTCTTGACAGGTGTTTTGTTCCCCACTTTTTTTTTTCTTTTTTCTTTTCTTGTTCTTTAATGTGGTTTTCTAAAAGCTGTGCCACATGGGCTCGTGGGCTTTCATAGCTGGGTATTATTGGTTTTCTGGGAACTCATACCGTTCTGTGTTTAGGAGGGCATTTTAACATCCAGTTGTTAATAATATTTTAATTAATGATTTTTTTTTAGTTGAAATAGTATTTGACCGAAATCATAGTTCAGTATACAAGTGTGGCAGCTCACCCCTGTAATTCCAGCTCTTGGGAGGCTGAGGTGGGAATATCATCACAGACCCAAGGCCAGCCTGGGCTAGGAGTGAGGTCCCCCCACCCTCCTCCTCTAGGAACAGTCAAGCAGTATAGCCCACTGTCGGACTAAGGAAGCAATGAGCTCATGGCTGTGGTTTGCTCTCTGGCTCAGCTCACCTCTGTTCCACAAAGCTCAGCTCCGTCTGTGCCGTCGCCTATTGAGGGAGCCTGTTATTTATATTTACTTATGTCATTGATTAACTACTATTTTTACTTTTGATAAAGTATCAAATGATTGCTGTCACATGTTTAAATGTTGCCCAAAATGTAGCATTACTTGATGTTTAATCATGATCAGTTTTTGTGTCTTTTTGTTTCCTATATGAAGCTTCACACTCAGAAATACTGATGATTGACTGTGTTTATATTTGTTTAGGACATGTCTCAGGAAGGCTATGGAAGTAGATCTCAGCCTCCTCTGGCCCCCGGAAAATCCAACCATGAAGACTTGAATTTAATCCAACAGGAAAGACCATCGAGTTTACCAGTAAGACATTACTGTGCTGATTGGAAAACGCAATGAGTTTGAAGACAAGGATTGTTTTGTCTGTTCTCTTTTACATTACAGGGAGAGGTGTATAGGTTTTAGGGTTATTTGAGAATTATTAACTTTTAGGCTCCTTTCTTGAGAGTTTTGGCTGTCTGTTTTGTTTGTAGCGTTTTTGGCAGGTCAGACACCACTGTTGGAAGGTCTCACCTGACTGGCTCGCTTTGTGTGCACAAAGGAATTTCTGTTGCATTACTGAGCTTCTTTTAGCTTGCTGAATTGTGGTAGTGACACAGAACGAAAGTGTCAGTGCCAGAATTGAAACATAAAGAAATTCCTGCTTTCCAGAAGGTACAGTGATGTTAGTAATTTGAATTTTTCCTGGGACTTTAAATAGAGAAGTTTCCCCCAAAGAAAGTAATTTAGTTGAAATTTGGCAAAGCAGCTTGTGTAGTGCCTGCACCAGCAGCTCGTGTGGTGAGGGGGCTGTATGCGCTGCCAGCAGTGGCTGCAGTGTGGCGTGTGTCAGGATGATGTCCATGGACAGCTCATCTGGACTCAATTTACTCTGGGATAGAGAACCCATTTGAATGAAGGTTTCTGTATTAAGTACGCGAATAAACCTATAAAACAGTCTTTACATTATTTTCCTGTTAACATATTTTGATCTCAAGCATTATTGTTGCTGTTAATTTTCTGTTACAGTTTGTTTAAAACCGAAGTTTGGGAGAACCATGATTTTAACTTGAACTGTAACTTTGCACTGAGTAAAATTCAGTATGTTCTTTTTAAATATTGGAGAAGAAGCTTTGGTAATGGATGTAGAACATGGCAGGCTGTATACATGCCATGCCCACTACAGTTGGCTCTGTACCCTTGGAAAAGAAGGTATATAATGGCTAGAGAACACACACTGCCTTTGAGTCTGCTGGGAATGGCTATGAGACACGGCTTGTATAGGTTTTGTTTCTGTGAGGGGAGGATGAGTCTTAGAGAAAAGTCTCTTGTTGTTAAGCTGCCTTGGACTATGTATTGGTTAGTTCATGTTGTTTTGCAGGAACTAGAAAGGGTTTTGTGTTTGTGTTAGAGGCTTTTAAAAGCAATTAAAGTGAGTGTGTGGAACGGGGATGACATGCGCCTGTGACAGACACAGCATTGGCCATGGAATTAAAGTTCAGTCAAGGAAGGCAGGGTCCAGTGGATCCCACACTCTTGGTTTTAGGCGGATTTTGTAGTTCTGCCATGGCTGCTGTGAAGCAGGTTGGAGAATGTCTCATAAACACATAGCAGCTTTCTGCATGGCCATAGGAGTCACGTGCCATGTGCATTGCTTTCTTCATGGTTGTTTACAAGCTTGACCATCACTGATGTACACTTCTCATAGGTATTCAGATGGGTATCTAATGCTCAGTTAATCCTATGGCACAAGTGGGTTTTTTTTTTCAAAATCCTTATATTTATATCTATATGTCTTTATTTATGTAGATATAAAGGAGGCATATAATATATGACTTATTACCCACTTATGATTACCTTGCCTACTTCCAAAGAGTATTTCAGGCAATTTCAGTATTTCAGAGAGCATTTCACCCCATCCAGTTCTTTTTATGGGGCTGTTAAAAAAAGAAATATCTACACTGGCATTTTCTTTCTGTTTTTGTTGCTGTTTTGTTTTGAAATTCAGAGGCTGATAGACTCGTACTTAAATCACATTTCTCTGTGGTTTTTTTTTTTCCTTTTTGCTTGTTTTTAAGAGAACAGAACTTCCAGGTTTTATAGCAAGTCTGTATGCATATGGATTGCACAAGGCTGCTATGCCTAAGCCATCCAATCTGTTGGGGTAGAAACTGGCTTTATTTAAGTGAACTGTAGTGCACTATTTTTCTTCTGCAGGGCTCCACATGCATAAACAATCTCTATATGGAGTTTACAAATATGTTTTTGTTTATATTGCTGCTTTGTAAGTTGTACATAATTAAGGTAATTATGGCTTCAGGGAACACTTGGTATTCTGTTACAGTCTTGATGCATGCATTTGTGCAGTGTGACTTAAATACTGTAGCCGCTGGCCTGGCGAGGCTGGTATTGTAGGATTGTGAAGCTGCATTAGTTATGCCTGAGTTTGTTATCAGGCCCCTTGGGGGTTATCACTCAGGCTATGCCTTCCTGCCTTAATGTTGTCAATTTTCTTTCTCCTTTAAGAGACACTGTAATCCCTGGTTTGGGGACTTTATAAGTCTTAATTGAGCTTTAAAAGTGTAACATGATGATTCTAATGTATGATTTTTAAGTCTGTCTGATACATACATACATACATACATACATAAATACACACACACATATGAAGCAGATAGTACTTTTTGAGTCTTTCTTATCCCAATTTGGTGCTGGAGTCCTAGGGAAGTCCTAGATACCTACCAGTTTTCAGTCTACATTGAAATCCCAAAGAATTATGTTCTAACACTAGAGAAGGAATGGCTCAGGAACAGGATGGATAAGCTTGCTAGTGAGAATGAGGACAAGCAGGGAAAAAGCAAAAGCTTCCTTCTTCCATGGTCTTTTATGTTGGCTGCCACCAGAAGGAGTGGCCCAGATCTCAAATGACCCAGATTTAGTTGGGTCTTCCTAGCTCTAATAATCCAATCAAGAAAAAGCCCTCAAGTGTGCCCAGATGCTTTGGTTTTAGTTAATTACAAATACAGTCAGATTGAGAGCCCACATTAACCAACAGCCTGGGTCTCACTATTTAAGGCTTACCAGCCAGGAACTCACTATGCAGACCAGGCAAGCCTTGAACTCACAGAGACCTGCCTGCCTGCCTCTTCCTCTGTCTCTAGCACACTGTGATTAATGTGTGGACCACCACACTTAGCCGAGGTAGTTTTTTTTTTTTTTTTTATTTTTATTTGTTTCGCTTTTTTGAGACAAGATTTCTCTGTGTAGCCCTGGCTGCCCTGAAACTCACTCTGTAGACCAGGCTGACCGTGAACTCAGAGATCCAGTCTACTTGCTTTTGCCTCCCAAGTGCTGGGATTAAAGATTTGCACCACACCCAGTGGTAGTTACTTCTTAATGCTGTTTGCACACAATGAGATAGATGATACATTTTTCTGTGACCTCATTTCTCCTTTAGAATATTTGTTAGATAATTAGTCAACTTTTTACAGTCCACTCTTCATCTTAATAGAATCCCAAGACTGCCTTCTTTCCAAGCTTGCCGGCCTGTTTGTCTGTCTGTATAGGTCATTTGGTTCCTGATGATTTCAGTTGCAGATGCCCTTAGGTTTTCCAGCTGGTTTAGCCAGAGTCTCACGTTATCCCAGAATGCAAAGGGCTGATAAATTCATACTTGTTCTCTTGTCTTGGGCCGTGACCAGTAATATTTACTTTTTACTTTAATGGACTAACTCTAAGCTCAGAACAAATCTCCCTCTGCAGTGTCCACTTATTTCTGTAGCTCTTAATCATGCAGATTTCTCCTAGCTGACATATGTGAGTTTATATATCTTGGCATTTCCATTATTGATAGATCTTGACATACAGCATGTGATATAAAAATTAACCTGAATCACTCCCTCCCATTAGGACAGCATCACGTAGCATTTGAGTCTAGTTTGTGCTTTTCTTTGCTTCTCATATTGACAGTAAATGAAGCAAGCATACAAGGGAAGACACAGTGGAATGTCAGCTGTGCAAACCCTGGAGCTTATATTCCCCCTTTGTTTTGCAAACCTTGGGTATATCTCAATTTGTAGTCTCATATAACTCCCACAGTATGATCAAGTACATGTTTCCTGGGGTTTCCATGACACTGGCAGTCGTTTCATAAAGAGAAGGCAGACTAGAGCTACCGAGTGTTTTATTCAGTCTCTTGTGACATTTGCTAGTACCTTTATTATAGTTGTTTTTATGATTGACCTGACTCCTTGGTTTAGACTAGGATCTTTTAATGGTATGTACTGTTTTATTTAGCAAGTATTGTGCTAATAGTATATGTAAAACGTCTGTAAAGCTGAACCCTAGTCTTCAACTGTTCATTTAATAACTTGGGGAGCTTTCGCATGGTACAGAATTGGCCTCAGGAAAGCCTGTGTCCTCTGTAGGCTAATAACACTAAACGACGGCATAGCCATGATAGCGACTTTGGCAAAACCTTGTCAGTCTCAAAACCATTTTTTTTTTCAAATGACAGTTTGCTTTTATCTTGATTATCTTGAGTTTCAAGGGAAGAAGTGGACAATTTGGATAATTAAGCAAACGGTAACATGAAAGCATTCTTTTATTAGTTATAAATATTTTTTTGCTTGTAAAAAGGTAGCTGTCAGAAATGCTAATCATTGTAATTTCATTCAATAAAGTACAGTACATATGTTCTTAGTAAAGTACTAATGAATATATAAAAGGGAGTAATCAAAAAATGAATGTTTTGTTTTCCCTTCAACAAAACGATGCGCTTTTTCCTGGTCATGGAAAGCCATGTATATGCCCCGGTTTGAAAAGAACTACTTCACTGTGCTTGTTCCAGAAAACCCCAGGTTTACTCTGTAGATGGGGGTCCTGATTATGTTTACCCAAAGCCAGCATGACTTTCCTGTTCTGATAGATAATACTGGGGAAGGGCTGCCGGAAGGGCAGTAGGGGTGGATTTAGAAATACTGGCTGTTTTGGAAGGTCCATCAAGTCATTTAAACACTATTTCTGACCCCACTTTCCTCAAGCAGAAAAAGCTGATTGACATACACAGTTGGATTTTTTTGGAGTCGTCCAAATAGTGCTTATGTTCCTCAGGTTGAGTTGCCACTTTTGAGAGGAAGTGGGTGCCCAGTGCTGGTGGTTCTTAGAAGTAGAGAGTGCTAAACAGGATATTAGATGTCTTCAAGAGAACATTGGAAAGCAATTATTATAAAAAATATATAGCCTTTGGGGATTATGTATCAGTATGAGTGTTTTGCTTTTAAGGAAACAGTCTCTGGCTTTCCTGTGTTTGTTTTAGTGTTTAA